GTGTTGTGCATGTGCTCCGAAGACTGTAAATTGGAAGGTACAGGTGCAGGCTATGGCAAGCCACAATATTAACAGGGCAATGAGGCTTGAGGGAGCTCAGACACAGTTAAAGAAAGATACAGATGGACGGCCCACTGAAAAGCTTCTTTGCTGGCTTGCTCAGAGACAGTAAAAAGAAGAACAGGAAGGATCCAGCCCCACCCCAACATCAGGGGATGTGAAACAGTGATGCCTTGTGACCCCATGCACCCCTGTGAATAGACAGAACCATTAAAAGTTGTTTTTTGGGGGTGGCTAATCATCCCTGTGTGTTAGGAGGACCAGGAAGGGACACAGAATAAATAATGTTACTAGATACCAGTGCATTCTTTTTGTTGTTTAGCAATGAAAAGTTAAGTTTGGAAATATGTTGTTAGCTGGCTGTTATGGCATTTTTGAGGTCATAGACCAAGGAAAAGTTAGAAGTTTGGGTTCATTGTGCTAATATGTGTTTGTGAATTGGAATGTGTCAGCAAGGCAAAGAGGCTGTTGTAATTGTAAATGTAACCATTCTTAGGTTTTTTTTGTAAAGGTGTCAGAGCAAATGTAGTTATTGCATTAGTAATAGAGGTGAGGGATGTCCTTGACCTTCTTCCTCCTCCTCCTCTCCTGCCTCCCACCCCCAATTGTATGGATAGCCTACAAAGTAAAGGAAAGCTTAGTAATGGCAATTAACAGATTGTTGGAGCAGGAAATTGTTTACAGAAACTCAGAGTACAGCTGTGTAAACACAGGGTGTTTTTTTCTTAGAAGTTATTTTAAGTGGAAGGAGAAATCCCAACCAGGAAAAAAATGGGTCTTATCAGTAAGTTGCCTGCTCTTGCAGACACTGGGCATGTCTACACATGCACTTTAATGTACACTAGCCTATTTTACCGTGCATTAAAGTGTCATGTCAAAAAAACGTGCTAATATGCTAATGCACAGTAATAATAGGCTACTATACATTAAGCATCCCTAAAAAAGAGTGTGCTTTCACTACTGTGCAATAGGGCATTCTAAAGCATATTTATTTAGTACTTCACATTAGAGGGTGCCTGTCCCTGCACTGCAAAATGGTGGTGTGGTGCTTGAACTAAAGCTCGTTGAACAAGCTTTAGTTCAAGCACCCCTGTCGTCATTTTTAGGGACAGGGATGCTGATACCTGAGACACTGCAGTGCTTTAATTAGAGCGGCTCTTGGAGCCACTCAAATTAAAGCACTGCCCCCGAGCCCTGGGAGCACGTGTAAAAGTGACCAAAAGTACTAAATTTATTCGGAAAAACACATGTGTAGATGCACTACTGTGACTTTGTTCTTTTTAGGACTGACAGGGGTCCTAAAAGATTGTATGTGGTTTGTTGATGGATCTAGTTGTTATGAAAAGGAAACCCCAAGAACAGGGTTCACTGTGGTGAATGTAAAAACGGGCTGAAGAGACAGTACCTTTGCCATCAGAGAAAAGTCAGAGCTTTGCTGGATTGGTTGCTCATATGGAAAGGCAGAGAAATGCAAACTGCTTACAGAAGTTAAAGTGTGTGTGGGAAATAGTTAAGGTTCATATACACCCTGTCCTCCTTTATGAGTCAAGGCCCATAAAGAAAAGCCAAAACAAAGAGCCAGAAAAGCCAAAAGAAAAGGCAAAAGAGCACTGCTGGAGATGACCATGGATTGGGAAGCTTGCAGCCCAGGAAGGACATGGTTACAGCAGTGCCATCAAAGTTATAAAGGGTCTGTTAAAGAGAAAGAAAGGCTGGAAGTTGAGAGAGACCCATAGGGTAAATGTTGAGGCCTAGAGAGGGGCCAGGAGAGAGTGGGACCAGATGGGTCCAGAGGCTCAGAGTGGAGCTAAGAGAGAAACCTGATGAGAAGATTTCAGACCAGCAGAAACTCCCTAAGCCTGAAGAAGGGTGACTGCACCCGAAAGCTTGCTGAGAACTTTTTCCCAGCTACTCAATTGTTCTAATACAAGACATCACATCTACTCTAAGAATCTTGCCTACCCATGTCACATTGCAATGTGTATGACACATTACTGATGGCACTGATGATCGTGATAAATTGAAGTCTTAGAAATTTCTCATTGGCATTCACCAGCCCTGGGAGGCCAGTTGGATAGTCCACATTTTTTTTCTGTCAAGCCCTGTTAAGGAATTGATTACCATGCATCGAGCTGTCTCTAATTCTGTCTTTGCCTGGAGAAAGCACTTTGAATTGAGTTTATCTTTTCTTCAAAATAAGATGACAGCTCATAACAATGGAAAAAACTTAGCTGATAACCATATTCTCTCTTAGAATGCAACCATATTATTTCTTAGAAAGCTGGAATTTTTCAGACCCAGACAACTGGATAGAGGATATACAGTGTACACTGCTGCAGCCTATAGTGAGTTAAGTCTGTTGTTCATAACATGTATTGCTAGTATGAGACACTACTTACTGTAAGGAACAGTACCAACACTTCATGACCTTCATTTCTTTTGCTTTACCAAAACAATTTGATATGCCTACCCTGTGGTTCCTATGCAATCTGGTCTGGTTTTCTGACATATTACATCAAATTCAGAATTATCCTATATTTCTAACTGTCTTCCCCAATTTTCAATGTGTGGATTGTTCTTAACCTTCCAAGCATTTTTTTTATTGAATTCAAGTAGTGCAATACAACATCACCCATGAAAATAACATGTCCTGCCACTGTGGTCCACAACATGACTCCACCACTGGCTGTATCCAATCTATTTCTACGCTGTATTGTCACCAGTTAAAATTAGTCTTGTTCCTCAGTTCCCTCCATTTTCTATCTGAAAAGGGAAAAGAACAGATAAGCCCCAGTTTAATTTGTTCTGGCAATTATTGGAAAGCTCCCACTGAGAGGGAAGCCGTTGCCTATCGGTGCGGAATGACATACAGCCATACAGGTCCCAAACAAAAGGAGACCCCGCTTTTCTACAAGTGTATTCAGGCATGTATAGACATATTGGCTGAGGTACCAGTCCATTCGCGTCTTAATGGGAAAAAAAGAGAGACAGGAACCTAAAAAAGAACAGAATAAAAACTATTAAGTGAGAACCAAGATTCAAGGAATGCACACAAATTGTGAACTGGTGAGGACAGGAGAAAAACTACTTTGACTATCTAGTCCAGTAGATTACTATAGTGCTGTTATGTGTGTTTTAGAGCTATCTGAATTATTCTGTTATTACAGATAAAGGTTACTGTAAGATTGATTTGGCAATGTGAATGAAAGATAAGTCAGTTTTGGAGCTGGGGTACAAGTTAAGCTTCTTTCTTTCCTTTCTCTCTTTCCCTCTCTTTCAGCAAATCAGAGCTCCACATTAATTCAAGCCAAATAAAATTGTGCAGATAGAATACCTCTGTGAAACATTTTTAAATATAATTCTTGCAAAATGAGTATGTAACTTTATTAAAAAACCAAAGTACCACTCAAATGGGGAAAGAAATATATTACATGATTATGAGGGAAGAAACAGGTTATTTAAGAAAAAGCTGAAATGGCAGTTCTTTTTAAATTGTCATGCGGATGCTTCTTTTAAAATGCAATGCAGTGTAGCCTGTCTTTAATGTTATTCCCTTATACTCTGTTCCTGAGCAGAGGGAAAAATGTTTGTTGAGCAAGTCACTTTAAATTCTAGCCCAGATAGAATTCCTTTTCTCTGCTGAATTTCCTTAACTTACCCTTTGAAAAATACTTAATGGCAATTGTTCTAGCTAAATGACTTTCTATCTTCTCTAAAAACAGTTGACAAGAATAAATGTCAAAGTTAAGTTCACAAATATACCAGAAATATTTTCCTATTACAATAATAACATATATTTCAAATCTAAAGCAAGAAGCTAAACTTAAAAAAAAAAAAAACGCTTAGGCTTTATTTTTAGCCTGATATAAAGTCCATTGAATTCAGTGGAAAGACTCCCATTGGCTTCACTGGCTTTGGATCAGAGGTATTGTTCATAAAGATTGTAACCTTTGTTGCTGTTCTTAGCAAACAAAACTTGATAACATACAAAGCTAAAAATACTGTTTTATTTCTGCTTCAAGGGACATCTATGGAAAATAATTAGGGAATAGTTCCTCTGCCCCCCCCAGCTAGTGCTCTAGATATACAAGTGAAAAAAGGAAAGTTTAAACACATAAAACATGCTGTTGACTGTTTGAAAACAGATGTATTTATCTCAACAAAATTGGTTCCTGGTGCAGTCTGTGGCCAGTTTGTTCCAGCATTAATAGCCTAAGGCGAACTTAATAAACCAGTTCCAAAATGCTGGAAATGACAGATTTCTCAGGGACTATTACTTAATTAACAATAATTTGAAAGGGCAGTTCAGCTGAGAAGATGCATTTATTTATGTGACATCTAAACAATATCAAATTAAGGGGACTTGTACCCTGTTAATATCTTTGTTGGTCTTTTGATTTCAGTTATTATACATGTATGTGTGTGTCTAGACAGAAAATTTCTTTTATGTTTGAAGTATTTTCTGCTTTCTGGAATGTGAGTCCATATAATGGTAATTGGCTTATATTAGGAACTTTGCATATTGCTTTATCATCATAATATGCCTCCTGGGCTCATATGTATTATGATTTTAATTGGAAATGCTAACTTGATCCAAAAAAATGCTCACCCTTTTCATCCTCTCCACACCAGAATAGGGTAACTGTTTTCCCAACACATGCATTATTCATTTCAAGCCACCTCAACATAAAATGTTGTTCCCGCTGTCCACCCATACTATTGTTCCTACTGTCCACCCATGTAGCTTATGTTCTGTTGGCATCTCCCTTATGAATGGCATCTCTATACCTCACCTCTTGGATTATTGGATTCATTCAGATCCTAGTGCTTTAGCAGAGAGGGAGGGGAAAATTTTAGACTAAAGCTACTCTGATTGGTTTGTGATGATGTCTTCTGCCTGAAAGTTGCTGAACTCTAAAATACAAATGCAACTTCTTTAGAGCCGGGTTATGCTAAAAAGAGGAAACTGCTGCTGTGTCTATGATACACATGGTGCAGAAGTGCACAAAAAGGACAGTGTATAAACTGAGCTGCAGTAGCAAGTGACAAAAGCACTGAGAACAGGCAAATACAAGGAAAAGAAAGGTATGTGGTAACATTGTTTTTCATGTAGTACAGCTAGTGTATTGTGTGTCTCTTCACACTAAAAGAAATGGATCATTTGATTTAAAAAAAAACAGGGGGAAATATGTTTTCTGCTGGTGAGAAACAAATCCATCAGCTGAGTTTGCTAAAATCAGGGTAAGCTGCCTGATTTTGTCACGTTAAAATATAATTAGTCGTTTGTATATTTTAGGCACTGGAATCTGTAGAAGGCATGTCAGAATAATTTTGCTATTTCTTATTGAAAGTTTATATGACCCCACTCTTAATTTTAAAATCTTGCATTACTTAAGCATGGCAGATACAGAAAAATGTTACTCTTAAATGATTTGTAAAATACTTGAAATTGAAAAGGTGATTTGTAAAACAGGTTTTAAGCACCACAGCATTCTATTTGTCCTTTCAAGAAATTCTTGTTCAAAAACTGATCTGCATGCCTCAACTGTCTAGCTAATGCTTATGCTGGGAAGTAGATTAGAATGGCACTGGTACAGGACACACTGATTTCTACAATGGATTAAAACTGATTGCAATGACATAGAATTTCTCTTATATTTCTTTAAAATTTTAAGGTTTCCCTAGTTCACATAACATCAAAGGCATCCTTTTAAATAAATATCTGTGTAGTATTTTATCTGAGAGCATGCCTTATTATGTAGACTATAATCAGATTGATACAGTATTGCATCAGAAACAGCACATGTTGTTTTGAAATGTGCCTTGTAGCAAAACGAGTGCAGGATCTAAAACAATATATCTATTTATTTGAAGAAAAAGAAGTGTTACAGTGAATGAAGCTCTCTTATGTTAATTAATAGTGTTGGACAGACACTACATCTATTCTTGAAATACTGATAGAATGTTAAAACAGAAATCAAATGTTTTATTGTCCTTGGCATATATTTTTTCCAATACGCAGCACTTTCTTTTTCCTGTTAAATTCAGTTCTTCTACTCTGTATCAAAATGTTTATAAACATTACACTGTCCACCCGCCAAAATTAATGATGTGTGTGGATTTTCAATACAGGAAACGTCTACTGTTTTGCAACAAAGATTGTAGGCATAGGTAAAATGCATGAAAAATACTCTGAAATAATACATGCCAGTTGTGAAATCACCAATGGAAGTTCTAACTTTTCTCTGGCTGAAGGTGACTGATGTTATACCCAGGGTACCTGCCATCTTGCAAGACAAAGAACAAGGAGGACTATGCCTTATTTACTGCTAGATTTTGTACCCACCATGCTTTGGCCACACTTCCATCTTCCCAGTTTTTTCACTGTACAGATTTCACAGTGGCTTCCAGAGAGGGATTTGATGGCTTGCCAAGCTTATAGCTGTAAGCTGCCTGATTATGAGAACTTAGAACTGTCAAGGTGATTCCTGCAGTGGAAGATGATTTTTACTGGAGTATTAGAGTATGGACACACAGACATTTGCACCTATTTCAAAAGGAGAATGTTTCAGAAGTGCAGCAAACTTATTGTTATGCATAAACAAACCAAGAACAGTACAAATGTAGCAAAAACACTCCAAATTTAACCCTGAATGAAGTAGTAACAATTTAGAGTAGGAAAAGACATTGCATGCATCCCTGGACAAGTTGTGCCTCTGTTTGTCCCACGACTGAAATATCCCAGGATTGGTGCATACACATACTACCTGTCTAATCAGGGTTTAGTCAGTAGCTGAATGTGCCGCTGCTTTTCTGCCGTTAAATTAATGATGCTGTCCTGGAATAAACATTCAGATGCACTCAGCAATGTCGCAGGATAAATTGTTAGCACTTCTAATCCCATGAAACTTTCTTAGGATTTATCATGGAACAGGACATGGGCGTCTGAACAACTCCACTTCATCCCAGGACAAAATGGTTCATCCTGGGACAAATGTGATGTCTGTCAGTAGCCTTACTGCATAACATCTGCTCCCATTTTGAAATGTTCTCTTTTACAGCAGTTCCACCCCACCTCCATAACCCTCATATTTCATAGTATTCCTCTGCCTTTGTCCTAGGACAGTCATTGAAACCTAGTCCTATGAGAGATATCAGATCCTAAATATTTTGCTTGTGCTGAAGCCTGGCTTTCCATTGATGGCTCAGTGACTGCTTCAAGCTCCTTCTCTACCAGCAGTGCATCCAGCAAAAAGCTGGGGCAACTCAGTAGTGGGAAAGCAGGCTGGTACTGAGGGCTAAATCCAGGTTACGAGTGAGGGACTAATGTAGTCTACTCCCAGCTCTCACAAAACTGGCTTTCACCCCTTTTTGCTTCACTTTTTCCTTCTGTGGAACAGGGTGCAAGGTGGAGCAGGCGTTCTACGCCCTACCCTAGCTTTGGAATACTCTCCCTGCTCTTATCTAATAAGACACCACTTCCCTGATGTAAATCCTTCCTACAAATCACCTTCTCTGTGATTATCTGAATCAGATGTATTCACTACCTTACTACTTTTTCTTCAGCCTTTACCCATCAATTGACAACAAGCTTCTTTATGAAAAACATCATTTCCCAGGTTCATCCCTTAATCAATACAATCTGTACAATGCCTGCTGCTTTACACTTTCCCTGCAATGGGCCTATGAAAATATTTATGAATGTGTGAGCTGTCTGTCTTAACTCTGTCTTCCCAGTTGTCCTCTGGTAATGTATATACATGCCTATCATATTCACTAGGTAAAATGGACACCAGCTTTACCACGTAATGCATATTGATTTTTTTTCCTAAACTTAACTGTCATGTTAGTTAAAGGAAGGATCCTAGTACTCTTATATTTTAACAAGCTGAGATCATTTGGACATTTCAGAAAATAAATGGAGTTTTCCTTTCAGTGGTATTTTGCTTGAAGTCCCAGATTGGCAGGGAAAGAAAAGCTTTCTTTCAAATATTGCTAGAAAAGGTCTTGTTGCACCTTTTACTGGGAGCCTCACAAGTCTTGGTGGGTGTTAGTGCTAGCTCAAGTTTGGAGCAGTCACAAGTTCAGGCCAGCAGGAGCCTGGAGGACTGGAAGGAGAGAACACCCCCCCACCACCACCATTCTGGGCTTTCCCCTTCTTCCTGATGACTCCCAAGGCTCCCCCTGTTCCCCCTGCCCATCAGCCCCCGCCCCACCTTACTTGTTGCTGCCATGCTGTCTATCCCAAGGGAGCAGGCAGGGAAGGGCTAACCTGCATGCCCAGCCACCATTGCTGGGCTGCTGATCTCCTCCAGGCTGAGCCCACCCAGGCAGAAGTGGCAGCAGCAGCAACCATGAAGGCAGTTTAACACTTCCCTTCTTGCTTCCCTGGGATAGACAGCACAGACAGCTGCAAGTAAGCAGGAGAGGGGGGTAGGAGGGGCAGTAAGTAGGGATCTGGAGGGGGTTGGGGGGATAGTGGGCCCAATCCAAGCCAACGTGAGAAGGGGGACAAATGGAGTGTTTACCCTACTTAGGTGTAGCCTAGAGTAGCTACACCTTAACGTAACACAAGCTGGTTAATATGCATCAGAGATAATCTTGCCCTGGAGTGGTGTATCTTTAAGCCACCCAAGTGCTTAAAACTAGTTTAAAATATAAAGGTGCAGATAATCCATGGGTTAAGAACTCCAGGAGCTGCCCAAAATTACCCAAAGAAAAAAGAGATTGCAAAGGTCTAAGTGAAGTAGGTAATTGACTTTTGATAGATGACACTGGCCACATCTGCATGTGACACTGATTGCACAGTCGTTACAAAGTACTAAATAACTACACAGTAATCAGAGTTACTGTGCAGTCACACTGAGGAACGGAGCTTTCATGTCACTGACTCTGCAGTAGCTCATGAATACTGCACAGTAGCATCACATCATGCTTCCTGCTACGTGATGCTACTGTGCAGTAGTCACCGGCTGTTGCATAGTCAGTGTTTCATGTAGATGTGATCACTGTGCACTTACATTGTATCTTGCATTCCAAAGGACCTCAAATCACTTTAAGTAGTATGTGAACTAAATTTTAGTGCTTGCAGGCCTATTTTGTGCCTGTTGTCATTTATTGGCACAATTTGCCAGTATAGTTAATTATGGGATCAAACAATGGAACTTTACTGGTTCACTTTTAAGTTTCAAGGTGCACACAGCCCTTCTGCCCAAAAAACAAAGAGTACAATGTTTAATTTTTATCTTTTGCCACCAGAAAGTTGCATTAACTGCTTGCCAGTAAAATATTGATAATTTTCTTCACTTAAATATTCCGGTCAAAGTCATATGGACTAGATGAGTGAGTAAGGAAAGCAAGATTTTGTCCCATGGGTACAAAATTAGAAGTTAGGATGAAGTTCTAATAGAAAAATTATTCTTATACATATACAGTCATTTCAACATCACTAAAAAAAAGGTTTCTCTATGGTTTTTTTAAAGAGAAGAGTAATATTCACGGGCAGAGCCAGATTTTCATAAAGAGGGGTCCAGGAGCAGTGGCGGCTGCACACCTGCCCTGACCCATCCCCCCATATGATGGCAGGCAGACTAGCAGCAGGGGGCTTTTTTAAAGTCTCTCAAGCTCAGTGACAGGGCCCCTCTCCTCCCCTCCCATTCTCCCCCACCCCAGCCCAGGAATAATCAAAGACAGTGGCATCAGTGGGCAACAGAGGGAAGGGGAGGGGATGTGTTTTTGAGCAAGAACGGGAAGGAAGGGAGGATTCTTACTTGGTTCAGGGACTTAAAGAAAACATCCCTAGCTGCTGAGTCCTGGCATAGTGAACTGAAATGGGGGTGCATCCATGCCACTGCATTCATCTCTGGATCCACCCCTCATAACATTATATTCATGTATAGGCCTGGTACTACCATATCATAATCAGTCAAACTAGCAGGTTAACAGACTGTAATTAACCAAATTAGTGTATATTTCATAGGAAGTATCGTCTTTATGCTTGCATAAAGTTCCAGTGGATCTTCTATAAACCCAACTAACCAGGATGGCATTTTTACACTATATCTGAATAATGCAAAGAGAAATTC